TCTATTGGTGGGGAACGACAAACTGCTGGAAACCGGGTCCAGCGTCCCTTAGATACAACATCGTTTTGTCTTTGGAACAAAATTCCAGATATGGGTGCCAGCAGCACGGAACAAGTCCTAACATCTTCCCACGAACACATCGCATCCTCGTCTTGAATGTATCAGACCAGAAAGATGGTTTGCATACATTCACAGCAGCTTCTGATTTCTGACACATGTTTTGCAGGGAAATATCCAGTGGGGGAAGGAGAAGGAGGAGCAAGGACCACTTTTCTCAATAGTCTTGGCAGCGTATAATCAGGGAAAGTTCCTGGAGGAGACAGTGCAGAGTGTAAGTGGCACCTCTGCATTCACCACCTGCATCACCTATTTGTTTTGTTTGGTAACTTTGGTTTCATTATAGGCATACTGTTGTTTTTGACTGCATCTGGCTTCTAATACTGTCAGATTCATTCCGAAAACTGTCCTATTGTGAGCATGCCCTTGGCCAAATTTTCTGCTGTCACCACTAGCTTGTCTGTGTTAGCCATGTGTGCAAAGCAAAGGCGGCATTGACTTCAGAGGGATACTCGCATGAGGGCCTGATGATGAGGCCCTTTTGGACCGAATCTGGCTGTACTTCTGATTAGGTACACCCGGAAAAAGTCATAGTGTGAGTCTGCCGCTGAGATCCCACTGCCTTTATGAGACCCAACTTCACCCAAGTATTGAGTGAAAACACTGAAAATTTGTGAAAAGTTGCAAGCGAAAAAATGTTGAGCAAAACAAGAATTACAGGCAAGGACAATCTTCAGCCTACTTTTCCTAGGATTGACCCTAGAACCCAAAGCCTAGAACAGGGTCTGGCTTTTTTTTTTTTTTTTTTTTTTTTTTTTTTTTTTTTTTTTTTTTTTTTTTTTTTTTTTTTTATTTTAGGGTCTGGCTTTGGGTGCCACAATCGTAAAGTTTGCGACTTGGAGCGCAACCCCAGGAAACAGACCCAAGACATACCGTCTTCACGCGAATAGAACGTCCGGTCATTATAGCTGTATCTGGAGTGAAAATTGCACCAGATACGGCTATAATGACCGGACGTTCTATGTGGGTGAAGACGGTAGCCCCCAAGACCCAGACCCTAGAACCCAAAGCCAGACCCAGGGCCCACACCCGTACGCAGACCCTAGACCCAGACCCAGACCCACACCCCACCCCTGAGACCCAGACCCACAACCCAGATCCAGACCCAGCCCCAGCCCCAGGCCAGGTGGCTATGTGCTTAGGGCCATGTCATATATGAGGGTCTCTGATGATGCTGTGTGGGGACTGTGTGTTCATACTCCAACCGCGCAGTGGTGGGGTGGGTATCTTTCTTTTGATTTTGTTTTTTTTGCTTTTTGCGTGGGATGGATATCCCTTTGCTTTTGCCTTTTTTTTTTTTTTAAATAAAGAAAAGCCTGAAAAGGCGATGATGGCCTTGAGATATCATCATTGAGCTGACCGGTCCCAGGGCAATTCAGAAATATTTTTCATGCTGGTCATCTGATTGTATCTGGATCGGAACTTGGGTCTGTGTTTTTTTTTTTTTTTTTTTTTTTTTTTTTTTTTTTTCCCCCTGCATATTCTGGGGTGAAGCAGTCCGGTTGCTTATCACCGGCAAGCATGGGAAATACAAGGATCATAGGACCCAAGAAAGTTGAAGAAACATAACCTCTGCACCAACTGAGCTAGGCCCGTTGGTGGCACAGGCACAGCTTTGTTTGTTTTTGATACTCACACAAACACTCCTCCCCATTATGGCTGAGAGGTCTGAGCGGACGGCATTGATTACTTCCCTTGGGAGGGATATACCACCCCTCACCACTGCCTGAGCTATTTCCACTTTTGAACACAGGTTGCAGTATTTAAGGCATCTGCCCACTGAGCCCGATATCGTCAGTTCAATTCCTTGCCGGGTCGATCCAAACAGATGGTACGGAACCAGTGATTCTCTGTGGTAACTACCGTCTTCAGCCAAAAATAACGCTCAGGCATTGTGTGCGAATATAAAGCCCGCCAGGCATTATATTATATTTGTTTATAACGCCCGGGCGTTGTATTCAGTAAATTGGTAGCAACTTCGGTGAGGCACCAAAAATTTGAAAACGAAAGAAAATCAAAAAATTTTAAAAATCTGTAAAAAAGAAAATTTTGTTAAAAAAAAATTGCAATGCAAACAACGTTTGGCTGAAGATCACTGCAGAATTCCTTATTAGTTCGAAGATAAAGAAACAAAGTAGAGAACTCAAACTAAAGCACACCCGTTGAAGTTAAAACTTAAAACCCCTTTCAACCCCCCTTAAGCCTCATGTATACCCCCCTTCCCCCTGTACAAGACACAGCCTGGACTGGACAGGTAAAAAAAACAAACGGGAGATGGGTTGGGGGAGGGCACTGGGGAGCAGGGGAATGAGGAAGGCTGCTAGAGGCAACCGAGTGAGAGGGAAGAGGGGCGGAGGTAGGGAAGGCAATGGACAGCGGAAGGAATGATTCTCTCTCTCTCTCTCTCTCTCTCTCTCTCTCTCTCTCTCTCTCTCTCTCTCTCTCTCTCTCTCTCTCTCT